TTTTGTTTGGGGGTTCCAGATAATCTGTGCATGATTTACAGTTTGAAAAATCTTCAGCTCTTTCTGCTTGAGCGCTGCCCGATTTGGAGTTTTGGACCTTATGTGTTGCCGTCGTTGTTTGCATTCGTCATCTATTGAGTTACATGCGCCGTGTAGATCGAGACTCACCGCCGCACCGTCCGAATCCGGGCCATAGTAGACACCCCAGCTAGACACCCCATATCGGTTTCGCAGCCGGAACTAGCATATGCTAACGTGCACATAGTCCATTGCTGTTAAGTGTGATCAGCTATTAAGTGTTATTGTTTACAAAATTATAATTAGAATATAATATTGCACTTTTTTGAGTATGCACATTTTGTGCTTCTGTTTACATTTCTTTTATAACTTGAATGTATAGGAATGAAGAAATATACTTTCTACTACTATAGTTACTTGCACTTTAGAGGTGTTGTTAAAGCACTGTACAGTGCTTGTCACAGTTGTGTTTGAATTCAACACATACAATATTGTACATTTTTATTCTGCTGAATAAACCATGACAGGAAACAAACATGCTGGGGTCAATTTGTTCTTTAACATTGGTAAAACTGCGCACATTACTTAAAAATATACTCAGGCACTTAATTACTTGTGTATTTACTTATTATTGAATCGATATCGAAGCTAATAAGTCTTTATTAAATCGAATTGAAATCGAATCGAATTGTGAAATACCTAACAATACCCAGCCCTATATTTTAGGAACGCTTTTAAACTTGGTTTAATTTACTTTATTAAAACAAAGTCACTTTCAAAGGGTCAACACAATTTAGTTGGATTAAATAAACTTTATTAGGTTTGTCAAACTAAATCTTTTTACATAATTCATCATAATTTAATTCATGTACTAAGGTATTTTTAATTTTTTATGTACTATTTAATTGAGTCAATTTACTATTATTTAATTGTCTTAGTTTGGTCCAACTTATATTGTTTTATTAATTTAATAATGTTTAATTAATCAGACTGATCTCATGAAATGGCCTATGTATGACACGCCAATTCGTATTTCTGTTTTTGGTGTGCTATCAACATGCATAATCGGTTTTCAGCGTGTTTATCAATGCCGTTGACTTAACGTTACATTACTGTATATATAAATATATGACCTACCCCAACCGTCAGTGGGGTTAATAGCATTTATGAGTCTTCCCCCTACCATCCTAGGGAAAATAATATCGCTCTCCAGATGTAGATCTACATTTTGCTTTGTTTCTCTCAGACATTTAACGGCGTGTACATACACACGGAATCACTCGGACATTTAACGGCGTAGACATACATGCAAAAGATGACGGTTCGTTTCAGCGTGGACATACACGCGGATAGCTCAAAATGCATATAGATAACACGCCACTTGACTTGAAAGTGGCGTGTATGTTTACGCAAAAGTCATGATACCATGTTGAATTAATTGACTTATATTGGTCTAATTTCATTTTAGATCTAGTTTAACTGTAATGAAATTATGACATTTTTAGGAATTATGTAATGTTTATTACTTTAGAATTAAAAATACCGAACAAAAAAAGTGAACCATGGTAAAAAAAATAAAAGAAAACAAAAGTGGCCTGTTGTCAGTGGCCAATGGTTATATTGTAGTATTTAAAAAAAATTATAAGCACTAGTTTTCCATATATGGAAATGTATTTTGTGATATATTGCATTAAATGTTGTGGTATATTCCCATACATTTTTTGTTCTTTAAGGGGGAGACGTACAAATTGTACAATATTGAATGGGAACAGAACCTTGAGGAACTTTGTCATAAAATCAACTGGCCACAATAGATTTATTATGTGCAAAATTGGTTTGTTAAACAAAGGCTTCTTTATCATTTGGTTGTGGTATTATTTTTAATAATATTTTTTAATATTAAATATATTTACATATTTTCTCTATTTTGATACATGTCTTTTCTGTTTGTTTTAATGTGTTTTCAGTGGTGGGAGAGCTGACCGGATCAGAGATGTGTCCTGTCAGACCAGCTCATCCTCCTCCTGTCAGAAACACATCAGTCATCATGACACCCTGCAGCTCGATTCTCACCAACCAGTGCATGATGATCTGCAGAGAGTCAAAGACCAGCACAAAACCAGCATGAAGAACAGATATGAGAGATTATTTGAGGGAATCAAACTACAAGAGAATCAGACTCTCCTGAACAGGATTTACACACAGCTGTACATCATAGAGGGAGAGAGTGAAGGAGTGAATGAAGAACATGAGGTGCTACAGATGGAGAAAAGTTACAAGACCCTCCAAGACACTCCAATCCACTGCAATGACATCTTTGATCCTTCACCTGAACCCGGATATGAGGAGAAGAGAAGAGAGAAGAAAGACAAAATCAAGACTGTTCTTACTAAAGGCATCGCTGGAATCGGGAAAACCGTCTCTGTGCAGAAGTTCATTCTGGACTGGGCCGAGGGAAAAGCCAATCAGGATGTAGATTTCATGTTTGTGCTTCCATTTAGAGAGCTTAACTTGATTAAAGATCATCAGTACAGTCTTCACAGACTTCTGCTGGACTTTCATCCTGAACTTCGAGATCTGGACTCAGAGATGTATGATGAATGTACAGTTGTGTTGATCTTTGATGGTCTGGATGAAAGCAGATTGACACTGATGTTTTCAGACAGTGAGAAAGTTTCTGATGTGACTGAGTCTTCATCTGTGGGTGTGTTGATGTCAAACCTCATGAAAGGAGATCTGCTTCCCTCAGCTCTCATCTGGATCACCACCAGACCAGCAGCAGCCAATCAGATCCCCTCCAAATACATCAACTGTGTAACAGAAATTCAGGGATTCAATGAGCCTCAGAAGGAGGAATATTTCAGGAAGAGAATCAGTGATGAGGATCAAGCCAGCAGAATCATCTCTCACATCAGAAGAGCAAGAAGCCTCCACATCATGTGTCACATACCCGTCTTCTGCTGGATCTCAGCCACTGTGCTTCAAAACATCCTGAAACAAGATCTCAGTGCAGAAATCCCTCAAACTCTGACTGAAATGTACATACACTTCCTCCTCATTCAAACTCATATGAGGAACCAGAAGTATGAAGAGAGAGATCCAGAGAAACTCCTGCAGTCCAACAGAGACGTGATTGTGAAACTTGCTGAACTGGCTTTCAATCAGCTGATGAAGGGCAATGTCATGTTCTATGAGGAGGACCTGATTGAGAGCGGCATAGACATCACTGACGCCTCAGTGTATTCTGGGATTTGCACTGAGATCTTTAGGGAGGAATCTGTGATTTATCACAGGAAGGTTTACAGCTTTGTACATCTCAGCTTTCAGGAATTTTTTGCTGCACTGTATGTGTTTTTCTGCTATTTACACAAGAAGAGTGAAGTTATGAAAGAGTTCCTCACAGGAAAGTCCAGAACTCAGTCTGTAAATGTTCCTCTGGATGAGCTCCTGAAGGGAGTAATGAATAAAGCTTTGAAGAGTAAAAATGGACACCTGGATCTTTTACTTCGATTTCTTCATGGCATCTCACTGGAGTCCAACCAGAGACTCTTACAGGATGTGCTGATTCACACAGAGAACAACCTAGAGAGCATCAAGAAAATAATCCACAACCTCAAACGAGGTCAAAAAAACGATGTCAGTCCTGAAAGATGGATGAATCTGTCACACTGCTTGATTGAGATGAAGGATAATTCTGTTGTTGAAGACATGCAGGCATTTTTAAACTCTGAAACAAAAACAAAAATTCTCTCTCTTGCACAATGCTCAACTTTGGCGAACATGATCCTGATGTCAGAGGAGGTGATGGATGAGTTAGACTTCATGAAGTACAAATTTAAATCAAAAGAGGGTAAATGGAGACTGGTACCTGCTGTGAGGAACTGCAGAAAAGCTCTGTGAGTGTGAAAATATAAAAATCTGCAGGAACAAATGCCATTGTCCTATATGAGATATGCTTTACCTTATGAGTTATTTTGAACCTTAATATACAGTAAATGCATATAATTTAACACTTGCCCCTTTAGATGCTCTAACAGAAACCTTTTGCTGTTTAATGCGTTTGATACATATTTTCATCAGTGCATAACTTACATTTCACAGGTATATTCTCCATATGTAAATGTTGGAAGTTCAAAAATATTTCCATTTTGTTATCAGGAGTGGACAAACTTAATGCAATCAAGTCTTCAGTAAACTTTAGAGACTTCAGTGAACAAGTGCTGCTGCACGCCAAACAGACATACTGTAGCATAACAGAATAGGAGCGCCATCATTATGACTGAAATATATATTTTTCTATAATATTTTTTGTTGGAAATTAAATGTGCTAAATGTAGAACTGTAAACTACAAGACTACAAGTAAATTTATTTTTATAATATAAGTAACTGTAAAGTGACTATTGTAATGGGGTAATCATATACAGGCTAATATACTAAGCTCAGATAAGTAAATGTGTGCCTCTTATCAGTTACTGTTTAATTTGTGCTTTTATTATTTATTTGCAGTGAATTAAGCTTCAGTTTAAAAAAAAACATTTTGGTTTTTAGATTATAATGTTGTTGTTACAATGTTAGAATTATTATTATTATTATTATTTTTTGCACAATGTACAGTATGTATATATTGCATAGCCTACATGGTTACAGTAACTTTTTTATAGCAACATGTAAATTTTATTGTTTTCAAAGGCCAGGATATGAAATAACTTTTTATTTTATTTAAACATTTCTTTAAAAAGTAGAAAATACCCAAATATATATTTATATTGTATATAACCATTCAGCCAAAAAAAAAAAAAGAAAAAAAATGAAAAACAGAGATAAGATTGTTTTGTCTATGTTGTTTGAACATAATTTCTAAGAATTAGTTATTAGTTTTAATGAGTAATTCATGGATTTGTATTCACTAGCATAATACTGTACAAATTGTACTGTACATACATTTTCAACCAAATTAATACTATTAGTTCTCCTTTTTCAGATTAACAGCCTGTAATCTCACAGATCAGCACTGTGAAATTGTGGCTTCAGCTCTACAATCATCAAACTCCCCCCTGAGAGAGCTGGACCTGAGTCACAATCACCTGCAGGATTCAGGAGTGAAGCTGCTCTGTACGGGACTGAAGAGTCTGAACTGTCAACTCAACATACTGAGGTTTGACCTATACATGTATTCATTCAATATGTTAATGTTCAAGTACAGTTCCCTGTCTAGAATTTTAAAGAAGAAATATGAGGTATTCCACTTTGACAAAACAAGTGTCCCACATTAACAGTATTGCCTGAAAGTAATTTTCTTCAGAAGACATATTTTAATGTTCTTCTTCCCAGTATTAAATTGTTTTTCTTTTTAATTTTTAATTATATAATTATATATATATATATATATATATATATATAGCATAGCCTACATGGTTACATTAACTATTGTTTTCATAGCCTTCAACATGAACATAGTTTGTGGGACAAAATTTGGCAGGATATTAAATAACTTTTTATTTTATTTAAAAATTTCTTTAAAAAGTAGAAAATACCCAAATATTTATTTGTATTGTATATAACCATTCAGCCAAAAAAAGAAAAAAGAAAGACAGAGATAAGATTGTTTTGTCTATGTTTCCCAGCCCTATGAACATAATTTCTAATAATTAGTTATTAGTTTTAATGAGTAATTTAGGAATGTGTGTTCACAAACAATACTGTACAAATTGTACTGTGCATACATTTTCAACCAAATTAATACTATTAGTTCTCCTTTTTCAGATTTACAGGCTGTAATCTCACTGATCAGCACTGTGAAATTGTGGCTTCAGCTCTACAATCCCCAAACTCCCCCCTGAGAGAGCTGGACCTGAGTTGCAATGACCTGCAGGATTCAGGAGTGAAGCTGCTCTGTACGGGACTGAAGAGTCCAAACTGTCAACTCAACATACTGAGGTTTGACCTATACATTTATTCATTCAATATGTTTAATATTTAAGTACACTTCCCTGTCTAGAATTTTTAAGTAGAAATATGAAGCATTCCACTTTGGCAAAACAAGTGTCCCACATTAACAGTATTACCTGAAAGCAATTGGGGTTTCTTCAGAAGACATCTTTTAATGTTCTTCCCAGTATCAAATTGTTTTTTTTAATTGTTTTAATTTTCGTTTTAATTATTTTTAAGATGCCAGATGGGCCCGAATGTTTAATGTAAACCACTGCTTTAATGGTGTAAAATATGTGAAAAATGTGTTTTTTGAACAATTCATTGTAAAAGCATATTCTAGTTGTAATGACTCACGGAACACGGAAGAATCCATTTGCAGCTTTATTAAACAGTGTCGTACAGGCAGGGTCAAAACGAGGCAGACAGAGCAATGCAGACAGAGCGAAGGGATAATCCAGATAACAGGCAGAGTTCAGGGCAGGTAGCAATAATCACAATCCAAAGACAGTCCAAGATCAGGCCAGGCAGATATCACTTGTAGAATGGTCAAACAGTCCAAAGTCAAAACCAGAAAACCAGAGACAGGAATAAACGCTCAGAAATGATCACCGGGGCAAATCAAGACTTCGCAAGGATGTGTGTGTGAAGGTGGCTTTTATGTGTGTGTGCTGATGTGGTGCAGGTGTGTGATGCAATCAGTCCCAGGTAAGAGGTATGATGGGAATTTGAGTTTATGTCCAATGATCAATACTCCGGTGAAGGCTCCCTCTGGTGGCGGAGAGGAGGCGGAGCGGGAGCCTCCACTGTAACACTAGTACACCCCAAAACAAAAACAAGACTTTGTAAAAGGGCATAATATGACCCTTTTAAAGTGAAAATTATTATACTGTGATGTTGTCACGCTGCGTGTTATACAACGTGTTATACAACGCAACATTCAACATTGACCGACAAGGACAGAATGAAACAGAGGAAACTAAATACACAGAGGAATCAGGGTTAATGGGGTGAAAACAGGTGAAACAGATGAAACAGGACGCTGAACGGGAGGCTGATGAGGGAGTGAGTTCAGGTGTGCAGACGAAAGGATTCTGGGAAGTGTAGTGCTGATGACGCAGACAGGATGGTGCAGACGAAGACTGTGACAGATGTATATTGTTATTATGAAATAAAATTACTCTTATCGTGATATAAGATTTTTTTCAGGTTGTATAGACCTAATTAATAAATTAATATTTAATTATAATCTGTTTTGATTAAGTATTAATATAAAATTGAGCTAATTGTAATCTGTCTGTAAAATAGTCTACATATGCAATTAATTATAATTCTTTGTGGTTAATTCACCTTTGGCTAAGCCCCGCCCCCCTTAGTTATTGTTGCTACATCCGTCAAACTTCATCTGTGCTCTGCATGGCTTATGCTGTAACAGCTCTTCCTGTTGAAATGTTATCAAACTCTTATAAAGCAGCAAATAAAGTGTCCGACAGAAGTAGGCAAAAGGGGCTGCAATATGCGTTTGAAGGCTATATTCAAGACATACAGGTGAAACGCAAGAAACAACAAGGCATCCAAATAGAGGCAAAAGCATAACGTTACCGGTCACAGTCAAAAAATGAACCACCGCATTTCCTACTAATGGAGACGGAGGCTGGGACTAACAATATCAGGGAGCAACACTGTTCATGCAAAGCTGGGTAGGTCTCTATTCACTTCTATAATCGTTATTACAAAGCAAACGGACTACACGAGTATAACATTGTATTTATTAGCAGCGTGTGCTAGCGTATCAACAACCGGTATGAGAACCGAAATCATAACCTATAACATTATAAAACGGTCTAACTAGTATAACTTCACACCCACAGTAAGGTTAGAAGTAAAAAAGATGTGCTTGTTGATCTTTGAGGGGTTGATCTTTGACATCCACACAGTTTAATCCAAAGACGACACTTGTCAGGATTTTACTTCGGTTTTGGGAAGGGAAAAAACGGACACCCCCCTCCAACCTCTCTGGGAAACGCGTATCTGTGTTACAACTGCCCGAGGCACAACGTTTAACCATATTTTGGATAAAACTACGACGGTAATAGCCTGCCGAGACCAAAAATATGAGACGCCTGTGTTGAAAGTCAATGGAACGCAGTGAAAAAGTTTCGGAGTCTGTGTGGGAGCTCGTTCTTGGCTGCGCTGTGATTGGTCAATCTACATTCTAGGGCGTGGCTTAGCCAAAGGTGAATTGTCTAGGTATAATTGATAATAATAACCGATAATTAAATCACAACCTTATCACATAAGAATATTATGCTAATATGCTATATGTAGAACTTGTACATGTAGAAGTAAATGTATTTGTATAATATAAATTACTGTAAAGTGACTATTGTAATGGAGTAATCATATGTAGGCTATTATAATTACTCAGATAGTAGAAGCTCAGACGAGTAAATGTGTGCCTCTTAACAGTAACCATATAGTCTATACTTTCTTTTATTTATTTTTTTTATTTTTTTGCAGAATAAATGTGGGTAACACTTTATTTGAAGGGGTGTGCATAAGACTGACATGACACTGTCATAAACATGAAGGAGTCTTTATGAATGTTTATGACTTTTGTCATTAAGTGTCATTCGGTAAATTATGACACTTTTAATGCAAAGTTGACATTGTTTAAAATGCCTTTGTTATGACAACTTGAGATTAACATAGACAAAAAATGTCTTTGTTATAACAACTTGACATTAACCAAGAAATCATAACCTGTCACAAATATGTCATAAAAGGTCTAATTATCAAACTTGAAGAAGTTACTTAGCTTTGTGTTAACATTACATTACCCTGTCATATGTTATGGTTGGTTTTAACTTTGGCCGTCATGACACCATTATAACTGTGACATGAATATTTTACTTGTCCTCAAGTAAAGTGGAACACATTGTACTTGTTATAAATATGTCATTAAGGGTTATTACACTGTCCAATGCTTTCACAACAGTGTCATTAATATTTCCCTTACCTCAAGTAAAGTGGAAGACGTCGGACTAGTTATGATTTCTTTGTTAATGTCAAGTTGTCATAACAAAGACTTTTTAAATAATGTCAACTTTGCATTAAATGTGTCATAATTTACTGAATGACACATAATGACAGCAGTCATAAACATTCATAAAGACTCCTTCATGTTTATGACAGTGTCATGTCAGTCTTATGCACACCCCTTCAAATAAAGTATTACCTAAATGTGTATATAGCATAGCCTACATGGTTTCATTAACTATTGTTTTCATAGCCTTCAACATGAACATAGTTTGTTGGACAAAATTGGGCTGGATGTGAAATAACTTTTTATTTTATTTACACATTTCTTCAAAAGTAGAAAATACCTATATATATATATATATATATATATATATATATATATACAGTCCCTGACAAAAGTCTTGTCGCTTATCTATTTTGTAGAAACACCTGCTATTAACCTGACTTTTAATTAATCAATTGGTGTTAGAAATAGCTCATATGAAAAGCTAAAACCCTCCCAAATGATGTCTAATGCACTGAAATAAATGAGTTTCACTGAAAGAAGATTTATCATTTAAACAAGACAGAAAGGTCAAATTTTGGCAAGACAAAAGTTTTGTCGCCTATACAGAAACTGAACAAAATAACTGCAAATAAAAAAAATATGTCAGCAAATTAAATAGTGGTGCTGTGAGATCCAAATGTAATATCTTGTATGACTTCAATGAGCTTGAAGGACTGCATCCATGCGGTTTGGCAAGGATTCATACAATTTATGATGAAGTCATCAGGAATAGCAAAGAAAGCAGTCTTGCATGCCTCCCAGAGTTCATCAATATTCTTTGGTTTCGTCTTCCACGCTTCCTCTTTCATCCTACCCCACATATGCTCATTGATGTTCATGTCTGGTGACTGGGCTGGCCAATCCTGGAGCATCTTGATCTTCTTTGCCTTGAGGAACTTTGATGTGGAGATGGAAGTATGCGATGGAGCACCATCCTGCTGCAGAATTTGGCCTCTTTTATGGTTGGGAATATAAGAGGTAGCTAAGATTTCTTGGTATTTTAGACAAGACTTGATATTGATGTTGTTAAAAGGATGGACGCTGGAAAAGTGGAAGAAGGTGGATTTTTCAGATGAATCTTCTGTTGAATTACACCACAGTCGCCGCAAATATTGCAGGAGACCTACTGGAGCCCGCATGGATCCGAGAGTCACCCAGAAAACAGTGAAGTTTGGTGGCGGAAAAATCATGGTCTGGGGTTACATCCAGTATGGGGGTGTGCGAGAGATCTGCAGGGTGGAAGGCAACATCAATAGTCTAAAATACCAGGGGAGATTCTGCGACCCCGGTTAATTCTCGTCCCCCGGAAACCTGCGCTCACCGTCAGCCCTGCCGAGCCTGCGCTCACCGTCAGTCCTGCCGAGCCCGCGCTCACCGTCAGCCCTGCCGAGCCCGCGCTCACCTTCAGCCCTGCCGAGCCCGCGTTCACCGTCAGCCCTCCCAAGCCGGAACTCCCCTCATCGCTGGTTCCGTCCAGCTCTCCAGAGACTGAATTCCCTTCCTCGCTGGTTCCGTCCAGCCCTCCAGAGCCTGAAGGCTCTTCACTGCTGGTTCCGTCCAGCTCTCCAGAGACTGAATGCTTTTCACCGCTGGTTCCGTCCAGCTCTCCAGAGACTGAATTCCCTTCCTCGCTGGTTCCGTCCAGCCCTCCAGAGCCTGAAGGCTCTTCACTGCTGGTTCCGTCCAGCTCTCCAGAGACTGAATGCTCTTCACTGCTGGTTCCCTCCAGCTCTCCAGAGACTGAATGCTCTTCACTGCTGGTTCCGTCCAGCTCTCCAGAGACTGAATGCTTTTCACCGCTGGTTCCGTCCAGCTCTCCAGAGACTGAATGCTCTTCACTGCTGGTTCCGTCCAGCTCTCCAGAGACTGAATGCTCTTCACTGCTGGTTCCGTCCAGCTCTCCAGAGACTGAATTCCCCTC